TCCCTCTCTCTTTCACTCATTCTGTCCCTCTCTGGTCAAATTAAATAAAGTTAAGTAAAAGTAATTCTTTTTTAAAAAAAGAAAAGAATGTATCCCCATTGCTAGGCACCTGATTGATTATATATCCATCGCTTGGTCTGAAAGTATTAAAAAATTACAGTGGTTGTAGGGAGAAAGGAGAGGCATGCTTCTTTTCGGTTCAATTGAGATTAAATGACCCTTTGTAATTATAAAAATTTACTATGTAGCTTCATTTGTTTGACAGAAGGGCCCTTTAAATGTTATCATGCGAATTATAAATTTGATTCTCTGCACTAATTTATTAGCAAATGTAGTCCTGTAGAATCTTAGCAGATACAACATGGTACTATAGAATGAAAGACCAAATTTTCAGGTCTTTCAGTTCATTAAATATTTAGGTTTTGAAATATTTAACCATTTTTGTTAACCGAAAATGTGTTAGAATGATAAATAATAAGATAGAGACATATCTGAAGGTTTAAGGATGCCAGTGTGCTTTGATATATCAACTGATTCCTCTTGAGTGGGATCGATTTGCCTTCACCTTTGTAGCTCCTCGACCCCCCACATCGCAAGGTTAAATAACGTACAGCCGGGTTTTTTCCTTTGCTTTCTCCATTTCTCAGTGGAGTGAAAACACGTAGTTGGTATTTAGCAAATGTCTATAAAAAGAAGTAGAAATTAAGGATTACTTAGTGACACTTTAAAATCAGTGCTGTATTTTCCTGTTAAAAATACCAGCAGTAAAAATAGGAAGAGCTTTGTCATTTAGAAATCAATATACAAAGTGCAGTTGGTTTGGGTCAGCATTACTGATGAAGACTTGCTTACTCAAATTGGCTACTTTCAGTAAGAACCACTGTGGACCAGATCCTTGCGTCAGTCCACATTCATTTTAATGGTAGTATAGACCGCAACATCTATCTTCTGTTTCAACATCACTCTAATTTAAGCTGCCCCTGAAGTTAGAGCTGTTCTCACCAAGCATCTGGAGGTATTTATTAATTCTGGCCTTTTCATAAATGAGTAGTTTGTGTCTTGCTTTATTTGCTTCGAAGACTTCTGAAAATGAGAACTATGAATATGTAATCCAGCATTCCCAAAACTTTCTTAAGTAAAATCTTCCACACACATTCCTCCCTTCCCACCTATCCCTGCCATCCCTCCACAACATCCTGTTGAATTCTAGCTTGGGAAATGCTACACTGAAATCATCAGATCCTAATGGCTTGGGATTTAAGTTTTATTTATTTCATTT